TCCATCTCATTCACCCTAGTGATCCTGGGAGATGCTTAGTAAACACTCCTGGTGTTGACTCCTAAACCCATAGCATTAAAGTCCTGTTAGAGCTAAAAGGGACCTTTAAGCGCATCAAAGCCATCTCCTCGTGTTACAGATGCAGGACTTGAGGTCCATGATGGAAGGAAACTTGCCTAAAGTCAGACTGCCAGAGTGGCCACCCAGCCCTATGCATCTTTCTTTGCCTCTTCCCTGCCTTCTAGCCAGAGATGGAGACTATGGTATGGTCTCCCCACCAAGGAGGGAGACAAAGGAAAGGAGGGTACCCTGTCAAGACATAACTGTCTCCAGGAGGTAGCCAGAGGATAGCATCATAGCTTCAGCCCTGGGAGCTCTGCCCAGGAGGGTGCTTTCCCTGGCCTGACATGGTCCCCAGAGTGGTCAGCTGCTGCAGAGTGGGGGCCTCCTACAGAAGAGACAGCCCAAGGCTGGAGGGCAAGCCCTAGGCTCTGTTTCTGGCTCTGCCCCAACTCACCACATGACCTTGAATATGGCCTGAGATAGGGTCTTCTCTGACCTCAATGTGCTTGCTGAGCGTCTGGACCCAACCAGCTTGGATGGTCTGAGATTTCATCCAAGACCTGCCTTAGTCTCCTGCACGGCCTCCCCTCTCTCTCAGGCCATCTTAGCTTTTACTTTGGTACAGGAAGTAGGCGAGGCACAGAAGAAAAAAACAGTTACCTGCAGATCCCACTCTGCTGGGAGCAGCATCCTCCATGCCCTAGCTTTGCTTTCCAGCCTTGGAATTCCTAGAGAGGCAAAAAACTGGGAAGGCTATTATGATCAGTTCAGTGAGAGATCTGAGACCAGAAAGCTTCCGCAGACTGAGCAAAGTCACACAGCAAGTCACGTGGCAGTGGACCTTAGGTCTCCTGACACTCAGACCAGTGCTTTCACTGACCACACTGACTTCCAGGATGATAGGCACATAAGCCAATCTCATGTGGACCTAGGCATTGCTTCACTTGACACTTCACACCCCCCACACAGGGAGCCCACACTCTCCACCCCTCTCTGAGACTTGGTTTCTTCTTCCATCCAATGGCGAGATGGGGCGGAACAGATGTCTCTAGGAGCCCTTGTATACCAGGACCTCAGGGTGGCCTCCTCAGCCCTTTCCTCACAGAGAGTGGGGCTACCCAGGCCAGGAAACCCCACCAGGTCACAACCTCCATCCAGCCCGGTCCCACCCCAGACCCCAGGGCTGGGTTTCATCCAGATCTACAGGCTCCAGCCCAGCTCCCTTGGAGGATCTGGATTTTTCTTACCATAAAAGGGCAAGCGTGCCTCTCTTGGTCCCCACTGCCAGCCCCACTGGGGGAAAGGCGGAACTATTTTTAGAAAACTCTAGGGTTTGCTCCTGAACTCAAGATGGAGCCTGTCTGAGCCTGCACCCGGGGAGCCCTCTCCCATCTCCCTTGCCCACCTGCCCTCTGAATTCTTCCCTTTTCGCCCGTTGCTGTCTCTTCCCTCCCTCCTCCTCTGTCTCTCTCTGTCTTGCTCTCACTCTCACTCCATCAATCTCGCTTCCTTTTTTCTCTCCCTCTCGTCCTCTCTTCCTTCCCCCTCACTTCTCCCTTCTCCCCAGATCTCCTCTCAGTCAGCTCCCCCTCCCCCTCATCCCTCCCGCAGATCTTGTTTTTGGTGGTTGGAGAAAGTAACACATCTGCACCCCCACACCCTTCTTAAACACTATTTACAACATAAATTCCAAACATCCGCCATCTGGTTCTAGAAAGGGCCAAAAGATATTTAGGAAAGGAAGTCATGATTATTCCATCTTCAAAGCCAAAGGAACATAAAGGCCCTCCTCTCTCCCGCCTCCCTCCAGGGCCCCTTTGTTAAGATCTGGCCGATTAGGATTCTTCAGTGAGTGGAAGGGGTCAGTCCCAGCTGGGCCTCTGATGGGTTGTATCACTTTGAGCTTGTTGCTTCTCCTCCCCACACCTCAGTTTCCTCATCTGAACAATGGGAACACGACTAGGACGTCTCCAGCGTTAATGCTCTGAGCCTTCATGTCCTAGTGCAGAAAATCCTGAGGTCCAGGTCCCTGGGGCCCACCTTGGGCTGAGCAGTGAGGGTGAGATGGGGACAAGGGGAACTCCAGCCTCTCCCCTTGCAGCCCTGTGCCTTTCACCCCAAGGAGATCTTTGCATTCCTTCATGGTGGGGGCGGGAGCGGAACCAAACCATCTCCCTTTTTGTGACCCCAGGGGGACTCTGGATGCCACAGAATCCAGTCCTTTCCCTACATCATAGTGAAGCCCAGAGAGGGGAAGGCACTTGTCTACAATCACACAACATGCCTACAGGAGACCCGGTACATAACCTACTGCTCTTCCCTTCCAAAACCTTCCAGAAAAAACCAACTTTTGTATTATCCAGAAAATATCACCTGGCCCAGCAAACTGGAATCCTGGAGGCCTTAGTTCTTTGCAAAGTGGACAGGAGAGAAAGAACTAACTCCTTAATCATGGGATTTTCTTCAAATAGACCGCATACAAGGGAGAAATGCTGTGGGAAGTCCCCTGTTTCCGGAGACACACATTGCCAGGGCTGACGGAGCCTTCACTTACACTGAAAATGTGCTCTCTGCTCACAGCCCCCTTTCTGTAACACACATTTGACAGAATGTCCTAAGACACTGACTCACTGACTCAGGCTGTCTCCATGAATAGTCTGGTCTTACAGGGCAGCTTGAAAAACACAAGCTAGGTGGCAACCCTGATCCTGACACCTATTAACTATGTGACCTCAAGGGACTGCTGTAACTCGTGAAAGCCTGTTTCCTCATCTACAAAACGGGACAAGAGTGGTACCTAACTCATAAGTGATGGTGAGGATGAGAAAAACCTGTGTGAAATAAAGCCCTTAGCAAGTGTGGAGCACATTGAAGACACCCAGTGTCAGCTGTAACATGCATTGGCCTTGCTAAGATTACGGCACGTTCCAGTGTGGCCTAGGTGGGTGTGGCTGTCACCACTGTCACTCTTCTCCCATCTGTTAACACTGGAAAGTCAGGGTGATGGGGAGTCTCGGGGACCCTGGTCTCTCCCCCCAGCCTCCCAGAGCCCGAGCTACTCAAGGCTGGGATTGTTTGGGATTGTAGGCCTTGGGGCTGGGCTCCTTTCTTTCCCTCTCTTCCCTTTCTCCTGTAAAAACCTGTGTGAAATAAAGCCCTTAGCAAGTGTGGAGCACATCGAAGACACCCAGTGTCAGCTGTAACATGCATTGGCCTTGCTAAGATTACGGCACGTTCCAGTGTGGCCTAGGTGGGTGTGGCTGTCACCATTGTCACTCTTCTCCCATCTGTTACACTGGAAAGTCAGGGTGATGGGGAGTCTCGGGGACCCTGGTCTCTCCCCCCAGCCTCCCAGAGCCCGAGCTACTCAAGGCTGGGTTTGTTTGGGATTGTAGGCCTTGGGGCTGGGCTCCTTTCTTTCCCTCTCTTCCCTTTCTCCTGCATCGTCTTGTGTCAGCCTCAGACTGCATTCCCAGGCCTTGCTCAAAAGTCCCCGGCAGCAACCTTCCCTGGGGAGGAAGTGGGGAGCGTGTGAGGCTGGTGAACTCAGCTGGGCTGTCAAGGGGGTGGGAGGGCGCTGTGGGAACATAGGCCCAGAGAAGCCGCACAGTGGAGGGGACACGGGAAGGGGCCCTACATGGCAGCTCCCACCCCAGCTTCCACATCTTCTCTAGATGCCACGCTGGACCTTTGCCCTCATCCTTCCTGCTTCTCTCGCTTCCGTGCCTGTGTCTCACTGTGGGCTCATAATGAAGCTGCCGCTGCTCACTGTGGGCTTACAATGTGCCAGCAACCGTGCTTGCACTTGACATCCACCTCATTTGACCTTCACAAACAAGCCAAGGTCCAGAAAGGCAAAGCCAGCAGCTCGAGAGTACACAGCTAGAAAGTGCTGCGGGTGAGAATTCAGAGGTCTGCCAGGCTCCAGGGCTAGCGTCTTCTCAATTTTCCCCAAACATTTGCCGGAAACCCTAGGGCCCTGAAACCCAAGGAGAGCACAAGTCAGAGGACATGTACCTGGGTGAGGGAGCCGAGGAAGGGGAGCTGTGGGTAAAGAAGCCCCTCTAGAGAAAACTGGCGTGGGGTGGTGGGGGTGTCCTCACATGGGGCCCCGACCTCTGCCATCTCCCAGGGTAGTGCCATCTGGCTTGCAGATGTGGCCTATTCCCAGCCCCTCGGACTTCTTGGAAATGAGCAAGACCAGGAGAGGACACAGGGCCTTTTGCAACATCTATGACGACGTGAGCTCTGTCTTGTGGTCATCCAGCTGACTGTGGCCCAAGCTCAGGGGACAGCTGGGTTGAGTGTGAATAGCCCAGGGGTCAAGCTGGCCTCTGATACTCACCAGGCGTTGACCTGAGTACACTGAAGAGCCTCTTGGAGCCTCAGTAAGCAAGGAAGTCACTCCTATCTCTGGCAGGGGTTTTGAGCATTTCCGAAACTATAGGAGGGAGCATTCTGCAGGCTGCAAGCCTTGTGCAGCTGGAAATGGTCACAAGTGGCCCCAGGGCTGTCCCTTCAGTCTTGGCTACTGTGTTAATGACAAATTTCCATCTACCCCTAAATGGCTCCTTATCCCTGGATGAGTCTAGAGGTGGGGCCATTGGTCACCGGGCCCTCTGGGAAACTTCCTTCCAAACCCGCACTTCTGCCGACGGTGTGCTGGAAAGGGTAGGCAGCCCCTCTTGCTCTTGGAGCCTAGAGTTCCTCAGAAGACCCCCTTTGAAAACCGGGTAAGCATTGCAGAGATAATGGCAGCCTAGGGGCAGAAGGACAGATGCCTCGAGGCCTGAAAAATCCCAGCAGACTCAGCCTAAGACTTCTAAGGACCCAGCAGCAGCCCAGGCTCATCCTCAGTCCCTCGGAGCCCAGCAGCCTGGTCAGGACCCACAGGCAACCCAACATTCTCTGATGGGGGGCATCCTTGTTCCTTTCAGGCAAGGGCACTGGCTGGTGGGAGCTACCCCTTTTCAACCCTCACGCTGACACAGCAAACACCCCAGAGAAGGGCCTCCTGAGGACCTGAGGAGGGCAGGAGGCGGGTTCCCTGGACACAGAACTGTGAGTGCCACCCCTCCCCGCCCACTGGCACCCACAACCTCCCCTCCACACCCCACCGGCAATAAACTCCCCATCCCATCCTCAGAATGACCATGAACACAGGCCTCAGAATGGGAAGCGTTAACAAGGAAGGCCCTGTTGATTGACGGGCTGAGGACAAGTCAGGGCTGTTGGGTTGGGGTCGTAGGTGAAAAGAAAGGGAACCAAGGAAGGGAAAACCCACCAGAAGCCAAGAATCCACCCCCATCCCATGCTCCCTACAAACAAACAGGCACAGAGCCTGCATGCTACCAAAACCGAAGGACTTGAGGGTGCTGTGGAGGATGGTGGTCATCTTCCCTGGAAAGGAGTGAATGGGGTCGGATTCTGAAAGAAGGTAGATGTGGGGCTGTCAGATTGTCAGCCTCTGAGAACAGAAGCACTCTCAGGGCTTTGGGAGGGTCAGGTGTTTGCGCAGACTCACAGTGCTTGGAACATGGTGAAGCTCTAGAAACCCAAGCGGTTGTGTTCACCGTCCATCATGTTCTTCCCACGCTTACAGTTGTTCGTGAAGCGGGCACAGTTAGGGACCAGCTCCATAAGACAGGTGGAGAAACTGAAGCCCAGGGTGGCGAAGGGACTACCACTCAGAGCCATTCTGTCCCAAGTGCCCAGGGGGTTTCTGGCACAAGATCTCACTAAGATGAAAAAAGAGGAAGATTTGGAAGTGAACATGGGAGGCAAGACTCCGAGAAGGAGCTGAGAAGCCAAAGACAGGGTGCCCCAGGCCTGGCTTATATAACACAGCACACCTGTTTACCTCCGCACACCGCACACGTGTGTGCAAACGTGCGCCCCAGCACAGCACACACACCTGGCCCTCATTCACTAGCAAATGAACCTCGGAGACTGGGTCCAAACAAATTGGATTAGGAGGGCTGCAGGGGCCTCCTCCCCCACGCTGTCGGCTCCGACACTGAGCAGGCCTGCAGAGCAGCCAGCTGCGGTCTTTCGGCCAAGCTGACAGGTCGGCCTCCTCAGTCCCCTCACCCCACCCCCCGGCCCCGGGAAGGGGGCCTGGGTCCCAAAGAATGCCATGATGATGGATGGGCTGAGGGAGGTTCCAGGGCTAGCTCAAGAGCACACAGGATGTTCGTGCTTATGTGAGGCTCATTTCTGAACAGTTTCCAGCAAACCAGCCCCACCTCCCTTGCCTCCCTCCCCTCCAGCAACCTCTCCCACGGTCACCCGGTCACTGCTGCCAGAGCCCAGACCCCGAGCAGATCTACCCCTCAACTCTTGGTCCCACAGCTGGACTGAGCAGGAACTGGTCACTTAGGAAGCAATGCCCTGGGGCTGAGACCCAGGCACTTCAGAGGGAAGACGAAATCTGTGAACTGAGACAACTCCATCATAAAAGTGGCATCTCTGTGCTTTCTCATCCATTGTTTTATTTGATCCTCAGAATGTGTCAGGGAGTTAGGACATTGTGCCCATAATACAGACATGACTACTGAGCTTCATTCATTCAGTGATCCCATAGCCCTCCTGTCCTGAGCCCTGAGTCTGCACCAGGCCCTATTTGGGGTGCTGGGGAATAACTTGCAGCATCTACCCGCATGGCTTAATGGAACAGTCACCTTTCGCCCAGATCACTAGGCACTGGGAGCCCCCTGATATTCCTGGGGAGCAGCTCCAGCAGAATCCCTTTTCCATATGGCATGTGTGAGCAGTTGAAATTATCACCAAGAGGAGCCTTAGCAATCAGCCCATTCAGAACACAGATCCTGAAGTCAGACATCCCCAAGTTCAAATCCTGCCTTGCTCTCCTTTTAACTGGATGGCTGTGGTCTTAGTCTTTTGAAGCCTGTTTGCCCACCTGTAAGATGGAAAATACAAAAACTCCCACTTTGTGAGACTGACTGTGAGGACTAATTCTTATTTTCCTTATGCTTATTCAACACAGGGAGAAACAGGGGTCTGGAGAGTGCAAGGGCTCGGCCAGGGTCACACTAGGGGTTAAGTCATAACCAGGTGGATCCCTTCCCCCTGCCCCCTGACCTGCTTCACCCTAAGCAGCCCACAGCCACAATAGCTGGCCAGTTTGTGCAGGGTCCACAGGGACATGTCCTGGGTCCTGCCCTCTTCCTTGAGCCCTGCCCAGCCTCTACAGCACCAGAGTCCCAGGTGACCAGCAGTGGCCCCCCGCCCGCAGAGACGGCGGGGGGTGGGGGCGCTTGCAGCAGGCTCCCAGCCCAGAGCAGCCTGGCCATATAAGGGAAGGAGCCAGGAAGGTCTCCTCGCTCAGGCCTGGCGAGAAAATCCAGACAGCCACTGTTTATTTTCTCCTTCCCAGCCTCCCCAGAGCTTCCCAACAGAAGACACAGGCTGCCCCCCGGGGCCAAGCGACATTTCCTGAAGACAGTGGGGAACAGGGAAGGAGAAACAGTCCATCCTCCGGGAGTAGGAGGATGTGGACAGCCAGCACCAGGTAAGATTCTGCCAGGTAAGACTGTGAGGCCACCTGTTCGACTGACTCTTTTGATGGAATGGGAAACAGGGAGATAGTAAGACATGCTTGTGAGAAGGGATCACACCACTTGAGTCTCCCTAGTGGGACCCATCTCCTGACTGGGGACCCAGAGCAAGGAGGGGCCTCTTGTGGGGTAAGTGGAACAGGAGAGCTATAGACCCCCTTCTCAGTGAGACCTCATTTGAAAGAGAAATGGGGTCAAGGTCAGCTCTGTCTGCCTCCCAGCAAGGATGCAAAACTCAAGGGAGGATTTCCTGGAGCCAGAAAGCCAGCAGAATGACACCTTTCCTGCACCTCTGCCCTCCTCCCAGTCCAGCTGCACCACCTTCTTCTCCAGGAAGCCCTCCTAGCTCCCCCAGGGAGGAGGAACCTAAGCCCTCAGCAGTCTTCTCTGGGCTCTCTCTTAGGCCACTTGGGTCTGTCCCCTATTCAACTCGCCACGGGCATTTATCCTTCCATCTCGGCCTGACTGCGCTCCTCCAGGGTAAGGACCATATCAGATGCAGGCCTGTACCCTCGGCACATAGAAGACACATTTGGTTTGCTAAATGGATGGATGAAATGGTTAGACCCTGTCCTCAACCCTGACAGACTGGTATAGTGGTCAGGGGAGGAGATGTTCAGCACGGAGGTTGAAAGTCATGATCCTGAGGTGGCCGTTCTGATAGGAACCCAAGCTGGGCTCCTAGCTCTGTGCCCTTAGAAAATCCCCTTCTCACGGAACTTTGGGATGCACAGGGATTAGCACAATGAAAACATTCAAAACATGACCGTTCTTTTTATCATCAGCGTCACTATGGTCTTTCTGGAGACAAAGGAACAGAACCAGGCAGCCTATAGCCACAGAGGATACGGAAGCAAATACCTTCCCCTGGTCAAAGGCCTCAACCTCTGGCCCTGCGTCAGAGTTTCCCACAGGAGCGTGGGACTGCCTCCCATCCATTTCCTGTCTCTACACCCAGGAGAGCTGCTATCTTTGCGGCAATACTCTGAGCCCAACGGGGTGTGCTGGAAATAGCCGCCAATTCCCCTAGTACAAGCAGGGCTGTGACCCTGGAACCGTCTCCTCCCCTTCCTGGCTCGCCATGTGCAGTGATAAGGCTCCCCTGACCACCGCACAGCTGTTTTGCAGATTAAGCGTGGTGGGGTGGTTTTTCAAACGGCAGGCACTCAGATGCCACCCCCCTTTTTTTTTCAGATGCCCCCTTTTTAAGTTTTGCCATATCTGCAAACAATCATAAGATTTTAAATTAAAGCTGTCTTTTTTAATACCTAAATATAAATAGGAAACTAAACTCTATCCATAATTAGGAGATAATAAAGATAAGAGACAGTAAATATGCAGCAGTGCTCTTACTCTTTCCCCTCGAGCTATGGCTTGCAAGGCGCTGGACTTGAGGGAGATAAACAGGAGCCTGAAAAGTGTCAGAGATAGGATAGCACCAAACTGAAGCTCTTTCCCCCACCCCGGGAAAACAGAAGGAGGACTGAAAGCAAACTGACAGGGAACAGCCTGGGTCACTGTGTTTTCCAAAGTCAGTGCTCTGGCCACATATGCAGCAAAATTGCGAGAAGCCAAAAGTGGTCAGGTGAAAGAGCTTTGGAAAGAGTCCCGCACCGAGGAATGCAGGGGGCTGGCCTATCAGTGGCCTCCCAGCAGCAAAGGCTCACTTCTGGGGCACGACCCTCCCTGGCTTCTTACTTAAACCTCCACGTTGGTTAGGCTAGGCGTCTCCTCTTGCAGAGCGAGTGGGAGCAGTCTGAGAGTGGAGTAGACAGGCTGTGGGCTGTCCGGGACCCCCCAGGCTGGGTCCTGTTGTTGGAATCACTCCCCAGCCAAATGCAGTTTGTAAGAAGTTCCTACTCATTATTGAGGAAGGCAGTTCCTTGGGTGGGAATACCTCATAGAGGGGCTGACCTGCCCCAAGTGGCAGACCAAAGGAAAACACTCTGCTGTTTGGGGCCTGATGTCAGATTTCTGTCCGAGGCATAAGAAAGTGGAAGTGAAAGTGAAGTTGCTCAGTCGTGTCTGACTCTTTGAGACCCCATGGACTGTAGCCTACCAGGCTCCTCAATCCATGGAATTTTCCAGGCAAGAGCACTAGAGTGGGTTGCCATTTCCTTCTCCAGGGGATCTTCCCAACCCAGGGATGAAACCCAGGTCTCCCACATTGCGGGCAGACACTTTACCCTCTGAGCCACCAGGGAGGCTAATTTTTGAAGGATATGAGTGTTTTCCTGCTCTCTCCCAGCCCTGAGAAAAGGCTGCCAGCCCCCTCCGCCCTCCAGACATCCCTGAAAGTACATGTCATCCAGCATCAAGGCCATCACAATGGTATAAGCAGTGCAGGAGGGCTGCCCTGAGATCTTGGCGGGACAGCAGAAGGGGGTACAGGGCTCTATCTGCTCACTCAGAGGTTCCCACCTAAGCCAGGTCTTAAGAGGAAAACGAATGATCTACATGGCCATTCAGTCATCTACCAGCAGCACTCCCTGGGGTCCTTCACCATGTACAAAAGCCTCCACAAGGGATCCCCACCACGAACAAACATGGGTGCTATCCTCAGGGAACTGGAGATCTACCCCAGTCAGACCCAGAGGCAAAGAGCTCTGACACTGGAGAGAATTCGGCTGAAGAACATGATTCAGTCACTTGGACAACACATATTAAGCATCTACCATCACAAATGCAATAAAGGATGAGAAAGAGGGCAGAGACGACTTCCTTGGTGGTTCAGTAGTGAAGAAGCTGCCCTGCAAAGCAGGGGACTCAGGTTCAATCCCTGCTCAGGGAACTAAGATCCCATATTCCACCAAACAGCTGAGCTCTCATGCCACAACTAGCGAGACCATATACCACACGAAGACTCCACGTGCCGAAACTAAGATCTAATGCGGTCAAATAAATAAATTTTTTAAAAAATAAAGAGGAATAAATAAATAAATAAAAAAGAAAGAGGGCAAAGGATGTGTGAGGCTGTGGACCAGGGAGTTCTGATGTCTGAAAGTCAGAGAGGGCTTTACAGAAAAAGTGGCCATTTAAGTAGAGACTCACCCCACCAAGAGGAGACGGGCAGGGGAGTGAGGGGGAGTAACATGGTTCCTAGGAGCCCCAAAGTGGTGGGCACAGGACTCCCTGGAGGAGTGGAAAAAGGGGGCAAGGGCCCAAGAGGAACATCCCAGCTGGGCCAGATAGGGCAGGCCTATAGCCTTTTGTGAAGGTTTTAGAATTCAGCCAGAGGGAGACCTTTCACCATTTTAAGCCCAGGAGAAATATGGGCACATTTGCATTTTGAGAAATCATCCTGAGAGGATGACTGGGAAGGATGCGTGGAAAGTCAGTAGGAGCAGGAGCAAGGGAAGCCAGGTAGGAGGCTGAAGCAAATGTTTGATGATATAAAGTACCATGAATGTGCCATTTGGCTGGGATACACCAAGCATAAAGGTGAGGTATGGGGTCAAAAAGGTAGAACATCACCCAGGGTGAGGGGTGATGGGGCGGTAAAGGGTTCTTCTGGAATGATGAAATGTTCTAAAATTGATTGTGGCAATGCTTCTGCCACTCTGTGTTGTTGCATTCTTGCTCGGTCGTGTCCGATTCTTTGTGAGCCCATGGACTGTAGCCTGCCAGGCTCTCTTCCATCCATGGAATTTTCCAGGCAAGAATACTGGAGTGGGTTGCCATTTCTTCCTCCAGTGGATCTTCCCGACCCAGGGATGAAACCCTCATCTCCTGCATCTCCTGCACTGCAGGCAGATTCCTTCCCACTGAACTTCCCATCCGGGAAGCCCAACTCACCATTCTGTGACTGAACTAAAGAACCATTTCATTGTGTAATTTGAATAGGAGGATTATATCTCAACAAAACTGTTTAAAAAGAAAAGGAAGGGTGAAGCTTGGTCCCAGAGGGCTCACATGCCAAGCGGAGGACAGGAAGCACACCCGGTGTAGCTGCAGCAGCCTCCGGGGCAGGAGCTGGAGGGAGGAGCCGAGGCCCCTCTAATGCCCCTTCTCCTGCCGAGGGTGGACTCCCTGCCATCGACCCCTGGTGCAGAGCGGCATGGCGTCCTGTCTCCCAGCCTGAGGTGCAGTGCTGCATCTCTGGTCAGTTGGGAGTCTGAGATGAAGCACTGTAGCTCGGGAAGGGAGAAGTTGTTCTGCAGCCGTCGCCAGAAGTGGTAAGTGGTATGGTGCCTGCAGGCACCAGGAAGGACGGGAGTGTTTCCATTCTCCAGACTGTCTGCTGAGGAAGTATTGGACTTGAGTCCTATCTGTGCCACTATCTGCTTCATGATTCTGGGCAAGTCCTGATTCCTCTGTGCACTGCAGTTTGTTCATCTGTGATACGAGGTTTTGGAGCATTCGGTGGTAGCCATTACGCAGTACCCTGACTCTGCTTTCTCCTGAGCCCCTGGGAGACACAGCTGAATCAGTCAAGGCATCCTTTCTTAAAGCATTCAGATGTGGCTTCAGAATCCTCCTTAATGCTAAGTCCTAGAGAGCTACTATTGATTCAAAGCTGAAACACTAAAAAAAAAAAGCTGAAACATTTCATCATTTGTGAACTGGTTAATTCCTAAAAACTCTTTCAGACTAAAGACAAAGTCCTGGGCTCTGAGTCCAGCTCTTTACTCTTTGAGGTGTGGCCTAAACTAATCCAGGTATCTCCCAAATATCTGATCCTTCTCAGGGGCTTCAGGCTACTCAGAAATAGCAGAGGAAAACCACTGGGCTAAGCACAATTTTATTTAACCTCCCTACAAGCTTGGGAGGTGGATTTTATTGACCCATTTTCCAGATGAGAAAACCGAGGCTCAGGTAAGCAACTTGCCCAAGGTCACACACAAATTATATTGAGCTGGGCTTGGAACCTAATCTGTTTGCCTTTAGATTCATGTTTTTACCCACTGCGTGTGACTTGGGAACCTGGGATTGGGGGAGCAGGAGGAGAACATAATAAATCCTATTCTAGTCTTGTCCTTACATCCTGGGTCACTTTTAGCAAAGACAGACTGAGACATTTTCCAATAATCCTATAGACTTCCTTCCTCTTCTTCCCACCCCTCACCATTGTATTTATCTCACCTTTCAAGTAGGTCCTATACCATCCCATTTTATAATTGGGGAAGACTGAGGTTAAGTGAGTTACTGGAGGTCACCAGCAAGGAAGGTGCCAAACAGAGACTGGGAACCAGAACTGTCCAGGTAGTTTCAAGTAGAACCCTCCCGATGGCTGGAGACTCAGGAATACACACAATCCATGGCAACTGAAGAGGGGGATGGGGTGTTACCAGATGATTTCTGGTCGACAACATGGCCTCTGACTACAGGAAGGTACTTTCCAGGGCCATTGAAGTTCCAGTCACTACCCCCTCCCGTGAAGCAATCATCCACATCCCGCCAGACATGGTGGCCGCGCTGGCTTCTGCAGAAGGGGCTGGATGCAGAAGAAAACTCCAGCTGGTCCTTAGGGATATGGCAGGGCCTTGGTGCTGAAGGCCACTCTCTCACCTTGTCCTCACGGTCCAGTTTTCCCAGGAATCCCTTAGATGCTAAGATGGGGATTCCTGGAAATACTGTTCTTGAGGTCATGGTTTAACAGCTGGATTCGCCTCCTTCCCACCCCAAGTTGCCCCCGCGGGACTTGGGCTCAAGCACATCATGAGGCCACGTGGAAGGCCATGCGCTGGAGGTAAGAGGACTTGAGGACTGTGTTCTTGACCTTTAAACTGCTTTTCTTTCCATTTTGTCCATTTCGCAACATCCTGTGAGGCTGGAATGGGAACTTCACCTCTGTCCTACTCTTGGGAAATTTGTCCAGACACTCAGCTGAGCAGTGGTTGAACCAGGACGCCATAAAGCTTGTGTCTCTTTCCACCTCCCCCAACCCCCATCCCAGTTCCCAGCATCCCAAGCAGTGGTGGGGGTGGGGTCACAATATCAAATCCACGTTAGTGATAAACAAATAAATATATGTGAATTTATTTTAAAAGTTCACTAGATCAGTTAACGTAAACTAAAAATTTGTAAGTTTTAGTTCGATTTGGAGTACCACAGAAAAATTTTATAATTTTTCATTAAGGTAAAGACAAAAAAGCTCAGACTGCCCTCTTGTGGTGACGCCTGCCACAACCCTGGAGAACCCAGGAACACTGGGTTGTCCACACACACACACACACACACACACACACACACTCCTTTTGAACCAGCTTAAGACCCATCCATCATTTCATTACCAATGNACCCTGGAGAACCCAGGAACACTGGGTTGTCCACACACACACACACACACACACACACACACACTCCTTTTGAACCAGCTTAAGACCCATCCATCATTTCATTACCAATGAAGTCTCCATCACTTACAGTTTAATGTAACTCACATTACCCGGCTTTGTCCTCAAAACTCCTGAAGGTCAGTGAGATGGTGAAGTGACGAGCCCCTGGTCACCCAGATAGCATTAGGCAGAGCGAGGATCTGTTCCGAGTTCAGTGACTCAGCCAAAAGTAAAAACTACAAAAATAAAAAATAAAAGGAAGACATCTGAATAGGTGTAGAAAATGCTGGCTGAATGCCAGAGACCTGATGTGGTCCAGGTGTAACACTAGAACTTTTCAAAAAATCTTCCCAGTGCTTTTTATGGAGTCTGTAGTGACAAGAGGTGCCATGACCCCAGGATCCTTACTTTGGGGTCTAGTAGCCATGTTCCCAGGGACCAGGTGGCTCCCACTTATGTATCAGGCTGTCTCTCTTAACAGGCCATGCTGCAGGCAATTTATAAAGTATCAGATTCCCATCTCTCTCCTCCTCAGACATTGGAGCTGGCCTGACCATGAAGAAATCTGATTTGCTCCAAATGATAATAATATCTTCCACTTACTGAGTATTTGCAACTTACCAGGCATTGTGTTAAACATTTTCATAAGCATTGTCCCATTCAATCCTCACAACAACTCTGTGAGATAGGTTCTATCACTTATTCCACTTCACAGACGAGGCAGCCAAGGCACAGAGACGTTAAGAGACTTGTTTAAGATCACACAGCTAATAAGTT